ACATAATCTTGAATTTGTAAAAAAATCCATTACATCTCGTTTTATTTTAATACTGGTATCAATTCCTTTCAATTTTATGAAGATTTAAATCCTCAAACGCTACAAATTATCTCATTTTTATTTACGTTACGTTAAGAATTTTTCTTGACTGCTGAACACATTTCTATTGATCAGCAGATTATTAATTTGGTATACGACTTCTTAATGAAATTAAGCAATGAGATATTGACCCCGTTGCCATCTACATTTTTGTAACTGTCAATGTTTTTGATCGTACTGTCAAGTTTTGTTCATCTGTGGCCCATTGTTGGACATTACCAGAGGAGAGTGAGCCAAATATAAGCGCTCCAATAACATTACATCCTGCACACACATAGAAGACGTGTCGCCATTCTTCTCGTGTGTCCTGAAATAAGTAAACATATTTTAAACATTCTTTATACAGTTGACAACACAGCATCAAGTAGTATAATTATAAATAGTATGATAAATTCTTATTTTTCAGCTTTTTTACAATAACTACTCCAAATAAAAGAACATATAAATTCGTATCGTCCGTTCAGTTTTGAGTCGAAATGTTTCAACGTCAACATGTTCATTTTCGTAAACACTCAACGTAGAAGGTACAATTGGGGGCAAAATTGGCCCTCAATTCAAACCCTTTTCATTATACAACCATAACATGGTAAGTAGTTCAGTAAAATGGCAATCTTGACGGCCTTGCACAAGTGCAAAAATAATATAGAGCACAATCATCGCCAAAAAAACATTATAAATATTATCTGACAATATACATGCACAATTTACTGAATAGTTAAAATCATGTCAGTGTAGCGGTACTGCCGGATGGCTTCATTATTTTTTTTTCGCATGTGTTATCTCCATTAGGGTGATTTAGATACACATGATACCTATTCGGAATTTCCCTTGCGCATGATACATGTTTCTGGGAAAGCCTCCATTGTGTCATTCGAGACTTAAATATGGAATGCCAAAATTATTAGACGTTTGAGTGCATGAAAACCAAATGGACCTAATTGGAATAGTTAAATTCTTTATGTATTACTTCATGACACAAAATTTCTTTATACACTTGACATAATCAAAATCTATAGGAAAGTGTTTTGATTGCAGTTCGTCGTCATAAACTCACAATGAGCCCTTCAATACGGAGCAAACATACATCAATCATTACTACAAGTTTAAGACTCTCGCACCAGTTAAGACGGCTCAAACACAAGTCTTGGCAGATCTTACATCAGTTTAAGCGGATCTAGCATCAGTTTAAGCAGATCTAGCACAATACTAAGCGGATCGATCACCGGTTTAAGCGGATTTAGCACCAGTTTAGGCAGATCTAGCACCAGTTTAAGCGGATTTAGCACCAGTCTAAGCAGATCTAGCACCAGCTAAAGCGGCTCTAGCACCAGTTTAAATGACCTTAGCACCAGTCTAAACGGTTCTAGCACCACGGTACACGTCTCTAGTACCAGTCAAATCGGTTCTACCACTAGTTTAACCGGCTCTAGCACCAGTCTAAGCGGCTGTAGCATAGTATAACCGGCTCTAGCACCAGTCTAAGCGGATCTATGGTTACACAGAAAAAATGAAGAGTAAAACCGGCGAATAAATCGAAAAAGAATGTCTGAAAGTTCCGATAATCTACTGCAAAACACAGAAACACAACAAATATTTAAAGATTACCACGGGGTACATCACAGTACTTGATAAATAACATAGCCAGAAATAATGTTTGAATAGCGCAAATAATTAGTAGAAATTAACGTGGAATTGTAACATTTTGTGAGTTTTATTTTTAGTTTTAATATACTTACATTTGGAGTAAGTTTTCCTGCTGCTATAGGTGACAATATTCCTGGTATATTACCACACATGTTTGTAATTCCCATTACTATACCAGCATATCTTTACCGAAAAGAAAAAAATACTGTCAGTAAACCTATACTATACCAGCATATCTTTACCGAAAAGTAAGAATTACTGTAGGTAAAACTATTGTTAATAAAAGGTATAGTATATCAACATGCTATATATTGGATAAATATATTTGAATAAGACGAGGTAATACTGAAATATGATGAAGATGGGTGGTTTTTTAACGTTTATGGACAAATCAAAAACACATATTCAGGACGAGAACATGTTAATGCGAAATGAATATGCATTGAATTCTGCTTTGTACTAGACCGACATGCTGAGCCGGGTTTTCAACGTGGGAGTTCACGTGGTTACAGTCTGCAGGAAGGCATGTCACCCTATACGGACACATTATTCTGACTCTAAGCCAACCCGTCTTTGGTCTTTCTCCTTAATGCCGCGTGCTTAGCGGAGAAGCAGCTGATACCAACTTTAAAGTCTTCATTGGTTTGACCCGACCGGGAATCGAACCCACGACCTTCTGCACTCGTGTGAATACACTACCAGGAGACCATAGATGTCGTTGAAATATGAACGTTATCCCAACTGTTTATGTAAAAAGTGAGCGAACTATTTACCGGGATATCCATACTAACTATGGGCTACTTTTACCCCTACGTTCTACTTATATTAGCGACGTCCATGTTTGTTGGTCGACAAAGATAAAATCATTAAAACCATAAAAAATAGAATTGTGTTGGATATATTCAAGTGATATTTGGTTACATTTGATTAAGTGATATCACATTTTTTATTCATCTTTAAAGCCTGAATGCAAATAAATGGGCACGGCCGACATATGATCAGGTAAGCGAAAACATCGACTATTTTTATAAATATTGTCTGTTAAGACTACTTTATATATGCAGTTTGGTAACTTTTTTTTCTTATGAACATTTTTAATATTCTTACTGTAGAAATAAAACTGAAGGATAATTTCATTGAATATTTATATACCGTGTGTTCTGTGCTTATTCTATGATATCAATAAAGTGTTGGCGAACATGCAAGGCAGGCGCGGATCCAGTCATTTTGAAAAGCGGGTTCCAATCCCAGAACACCATGAAACGTTCACATAATTAAAAGAAAAAGGAAAAAAGGGGTTAAAACCCCCGGAACACCCCCTGGATCCGCCAATGCATAGTTTATTTAAACTCTAAAATACCTACATTATAAACAATCTCAATCGTCTTTTACCTCCAAAGAACACAGTAAAATTGCAAATTTAAGATAAAATTAAAACATGTTCCAACTTACTTCCCAGAAATATCAACAATGTTTACAGCATATCCTGCACGCGACAATCCTGAACATGCCATGGCTAGACAAATGCAAGCTACCGTCACATATCTTTGATCACATGTTGTAAAACCAGCCGCAACAATAAACAATGACGCTCCTATGAAAGCTAAAATATTCAGAGATATCAAAATAAGGTGATGTGGAACTTTGGGTCACTATTCATAATATAGTAAATTGACCAATGGCAAAAAAATCATCATAAACGTTCTTCTTCGCTTCAGTTTATGAATAGGTTCCCTTAGATAAAATTAAACACAACCCAATTTTAGACAATACCAAACTATTCTGGATCTTTTCCCTAGTTTTATATGCATCAATAATTACATAAGATGTATGTTTCATTATAATACGTTATTCTGATTGCCTACACTGCAATCTCGCGTTATTCCTTAATCAACTTCATTACACAATAAAATGTATCATTCATGATGACACGAGGTCCCACAATAAAGTGCACAGGTAAATTAAATAAAAACTTGATAAAAATCGTGTTTTCATGATCCAAGCTAAAAAATGTAATTATAAGTATTGAATGCTTCTTTTTGTAACTTCATAGGGTTGTAAAAGCGTTGACCGTGCGCACATTTTTAGAATGAAGCGCTTCCGTGCTTCATACAAAATGTACTTCGGTCAACGCTTTTACACCCCAATGAAGTTACAAAAAGAAGCATTCAATTCTTAAATGAATAGGCAAATAGTTTATTTCCTTACCAGAACATTGGTAAACTTTTCTTGTAGCTGTAGTAGAAAGAATTCTCCTGGCTCGTATCCAGTCTGCTGATTGTCCCGCAATAAGCGCAATTACAATGTAACACAGATTTGGTAATGCTGAAAACACACCATTCTTCAAATAAAAGATATATAAAAAAAATAAAATAAAAGTATTCACGGAATTTTCAAAAAAAAAGACATAAGATCCCAAAGGTGGATAAAATCAAGAGCCTAAGAAAAACATATAACACCATAATCAAAAATTAAAAAAGAGGACGAAAAGACCAACAACAGTAACAACACATCACATAGAAAAGAGCATCAAGAAACCCACCAGGAGGTGCTGCAGTAGACAAACCAGTTCCCGCTCCACATTTTGCACCGGTCGTGCTGCTTTGTTTACGCAATTTAAAATCATGCAATAAGTCGCTTTAGGAAATATCACAATCGAAGAAAAGATGACGGGCTTGTGGTTTCCTCAATTGGAAAATATCCGTGGTCATATGCGACACAGATGTTCCATAACGGTCAACCAAATCATCATTATGTCCGTAAAACTTTCGAAGGGATAACTTGAACCTAACCATTTGGAACTTGTAAACCTGAAACATAAGTAATATCCCTTAAAAGGACTATAAATTTTGGCATTCACATTCGACGATGTTTTCACCTATAAGATAAATAAGGGCTCGAGTAAAAGTTAAACTTGTATTTTTATGATTGATCGTCAGTTGCAATAAATTTTATACTGTCCGAGTGTTGAATTAGACAATGATCGGGTGTTCTGTTGTCAAATGCATCTGTAAACTCTAACAATACACTACATATATGGTACAATTAAATACGGTGAAGACGGTATACTTTTAAGGTCAATTTCTTTAACTGCAACTACTAAACATTCATTTTTACCACTTAACAACTGAGTTCTACAGCAAAACTGAAAAAGGGAAAAAACTGACAAGCATAACTCAAATATTATACAATAATAGTCGTTTTACAAATCAGAGTTATTGAAGAAAGTAATACCAAAATTGACCATCTTTTTTGTATTAAGGTAGATGGGGTGTCTAAAATATAATCCATAGAATTTTTTAATAATTTGCCAAAATGTAGTTTATATCATGCTTTTTAAAAAAAAATAATAAAAAGAATGGGTCACGGGGCTTATTTTCATGCTACAGGCTGTGCAAAATTGACAGATTTTGTATAGATTATGCATGGAAAACCCAATTTTCTGCCATAAAACGAAACTACACCATAGAATTTTGAGATACAATATGAGAAGATAGCTCTAATAGTGTGCTTTCAGATAAGAAAAAGAAAAAAATTTCTTGTTACATAATAAAATAGGTAAATTCCTAACACATTCCATTGTAAATGTAACTTTATCTGAATTATCTGCCCTTACGTTTGAGTTGCCTCCCCTTATGTGGCAAAGTTGGAAAAAATAGAATCAAACAAAAGTATTCTGTTTTTTTTGTAAAATACAACCATAAATATGATAAAATATGTCATTTTCTCTATTGAAATGAAAATTCTTACACATGAATTACCTACTAATCTCAAAATTTGCACCTTTTATTAAAGATCTAGACCGATTGTTTTCTTGTAATTCAAAATCCAAGATGGAGGAAGACACCATATCTACCTTAAAACATTTTGAAACCAATATAAGCCCAACCGTCACGCGTTTCTACAATAAATTTCACCAGGAACAGTTTAGGAAACCAAATAATTAAACTTCTGAAAAAGGACATCCAAATCATTATACCCGACAATTTTGTCTGAGGGATCAGGCCGTTAGTTTTCTTGATCGTATTGTTTCATATTTTGTTATTCGGGTGATCGTATTGTTTCACATTTTGTTAACCGGGTGATCGTATTGTTTCACATTTTGTTATCCGGGTGATTGTATTGTTTCACATTTTGTTATCCGGGGTCTTTCATTGCCTACTATAATATACGTGTTTTGCTAATATTCAAAGCTATGCTGTAATCACTTTTTGTTTACATCCATGTCCTTTGGTCATTTGATGGATATAGTTGACTCATTGGCAATCACATCAGTTGCTATATTTTGTTTGTTTGTGTATTTATGTATGTTTACGTTTTGTGTTTGTTTAGTTGTGTTTTTTTTTATTATAGAAGGAGAAATATGTATATTTAATTTGCCAAAATGTATCTACAGCAAGACAAGTACTGAAAACTTACACTTTTTATATTAAATTTAAGAACAGATTTCATGAAATCTGGTATACTAGTCAGTATCGTGTAAACCATCCAAGCTGCACATACCTCAGCAAACAGGCATGCGTACAAAGGCAATGATCTTGCCATGGACAACCATGGAACATTTAATTTCTGGAATATAGTTAAATGAGGTAAAATCAATATACCGTGATAAATCACATATCAAAAGGAAAAATGTTAACTAAAATTTTCTTTGTGGTTGATGTTCTGTATCAAAGTATTGACAATACTGCTAAAATGAAATGTTTAAAACTATGAAAAAAAAACAACACACAAACTTAAAAAATGAAATTAAAACAAATCGACGCATGTCTAATAGACAAAATAGGGACATTATCAAAGTTCTCATATTTTGAGGGAAAATTAAGGGTTTTTAAATATGATACAATTCGTGACTTTTGATGAGGTTGACATGAGGATTTATCAACCTGTAGGGTGTGATATTTACAGAGGCCAACGGCCGAGATGAATATTGCATCCCTGGGGTTAAAAATCTCATGTCAACTGAAACCAAAAGTCAAGAACTGTTTTATCAAATGACAATATTTCTCCTGGCAATTTTTCCCATATCCATTTATCATTTGGAAGTCATCAGTGAAATGTCTGTTAAGACCCTGGCGAAGGGATATTAAAGTAGCTTGTTTGTACAGTTCACAATTTTTGTTGCAGACCTCCGTTTAAACTTTATCCAGTTCACTGGTCGGTATAATTTCAAATGCACCAGGTAAATTTTTCTCACGCAAATACGACCTCAATGTACATACGGCTGACTCTGTGGCTCCTCTGGTATTTTTGGCATTCTTTTCATACAAATGTCGAAGAGCATTTACTTAGCAAAACCAACTTTAATTGGTCGAAGGTTATATTTTCATCGAATCAAAACAGCGAGTCTATTATTAAGACTTGGTGGGTTTTCCCTATTCTATATTTGGGTTCATGCTTAATCTGATATGAAAGTCTACATCTCGTATTGTGCGGTGAACATAATGTTCTCTCATGGGAAGGCAAGCGATGTACACTCTAAACAAATGAAAAGAAAGATATTTTCTTGTCATTTAATAACGGTATTTATTGATTTTCAAATCTTTTATATGGTATTTCGAAGATAACTTAAGTAATCTCAGAAACAGATTTAAGTTTATATGAAATGTCGTATACCGCAAATTTTATAATAGGAAATGGAATCAATATGAGGATTGATTTTTTTTTTTAGATAGAAATCAATGACAAAAATGACAAACGAAAAATGTAACATTTCATTGATTTACCTTATTCTCAACATTAAACGGAATGGTTCCACTGATATACTTTTTTTCTGCGTCCGTGATCCATGGATGTTCCAATGGTGTATCTCTTGTTAAAATAAACCATAACAATACCCATAGTAACGTCATACCACCTGTGGAAACACTCTCATATTGATAATTCTAAAATCCTTCGATGAAGATGAAAATACAGTTGAAGAAATTGCACGCAAATGCTTACGAGTTATTTGTATGTTTGATATGTATGTTTCATTGATAAAGGATCACCTTGTCAGATTGTCTATACAATAAAAAAGAACTTTGGTCATGAATGAATATTCACGGTTTTGGTAACTTTTTTTACTTTTTTGTTAAAAACTACTCAAGGTGGATCATGGCAAAGCAATAAGTCAAAGTGTGAAATTACAAGTCTTATTATTATGAATAAAGTAAATAAAACGTCTTTCAAGGAAGTTATGCAGAAGTCAATGTTGAGTCGCATGAAAGCCAGGTAAAAACATTTGGTAAATGCAATTCTAAGTAATGACAATGTATATTTCGACTTTGTTAAGAATATGCTATTGTGAATTGCATGCAATTTATTCAACTTACATCAATATATTAGTATTTTGTAAAGAGTCAAACGCTGACTGTTTAAACAGATTATTTTTTTCATGTATATGCATTGTATATATCAGTCTTCTATGTCTGAAATAAAGATGATCTTAGTTATCTTATCTGATAAAATTTTTGTAAAATTGACTTGTATGTAGTATATTATTTGATATCTTATTTTGTCGTTTTTTATTTGAAAATATTGAAAAATTATCCAAATTCGAGATGTTAGTTTTGACTCTACCAATCGTATTGTTGTTGTACTTTGGTACACACCGACGTGGTTTTATTGAGTGATGTAAGCTTAGATATTTACAAATACATGACATTAAAACGAATTTAACAAATAGCAAAAAATTAAAATATGGTGCCCAATAATACACATAGAAAACCTGTTATATAAAATATTGAACCCCATCCATTGTCAAAACCATATTCACAGAGGTATCCAGAACTTGCAAGGGTTATCACACTACCGGATGGAGGGCCTGAAAATTTCAAAATCGAAATGGTTATATCATACGCATGCGTATATATACAGTTGATTTATATACGAAAGGATAAATTAGTACATGCACAATTTGTATATCATGAATGAAATGATGAGATGTCAAAGGGTTACTATGATTTGTAATTCTTATCTGTTGTGTTAATATTGTGTTATATTTTGCGTAACATTTTGTGTTTTTTTTGCTTGACCCATATGGGTGTAATTTGCAAATAAAATTATTATTATAATTGGAATCATATTTTCGTTTCATGCATGTTATTTACGGAATTGGACATAGGCAATACAGAAAACAGACGATATGTGACATGGCTTTTAATTAAATGGAAAAAATTAAAATATTATAATAAAGTTATAACATGTCCACAAAGAAAAGAAAACGGTTCAAATGAGTAAAATGTTGACAACCACTGAAAAAGAGGGCATGCTAAGTAAAGACATAATTGTTGTTTTGCAACAAATCGCTGCAACAGATCAGTTGTGTATCCCCAAAATAGCTGTTATATGTAGGTTTCATATGAATCATTAAATTAACATTTTGTAAAGAAAATATTATGTATGCTACAAGTATTATAGTTTTATAGTTATCGGATGATACCTTGTTTTAACTGTACATATAAAACTACTATTATATTGGATTGAAATTTAATCAACATTCAAGTAATCAGAAAAATGTCATAAACTACAAAGTATATACCTAAGTAATATAATGCCATTAGTTTAGTTCTTTCTAAAGGTGGAGCCCATCTTCCCCACACAGAGCTCATAGCTGGGAAACAAACACCCTTCAATACAGAAATATGTAAGTGGTCTCTTATTAACCTAAATGAAAAAAAATATGTAAATATCTGCTTAAATTAATCTATATTTGTGTCTTTATCAGATTTTGGTTTTCTATTGGGTTTTCCTGGTATTTCTTTTTTGCGGGTTTAACATTAATCGTACCATAATTTTTACTTTATTATTGATTCACGTTGAATGCCCCTGAAAAGTCTAACGACTCAAAACTATATCCCTGCAAACACAGATACACAAAACTCTTAAATGTTTATTGACACGTTCTGCGGACGAGCGGATGCTACTGATTATAAGCTTATATATTTATATATATATACGTTTTGGTAATTATAAGTACTGAAAAATAAAAATAAAAAAGATAATATCCATATACTGAGATAATCGAACCAAGTTTTAGTTATTACAACGAAGTGTCCAGTGTGAAGTATAGAGGAGAAGCAAATGACTGTAAACCAACTTATTTTTGCGAGCGATTTATTTTCGCTAGTTGAAAAATAACGCGAATATAAAAAGTTGCGAATATTACAAAAAGCATCTTCTTTTATAAGAAAACGTCAAGAAATTTCGAAAATCGCGAAAATAGATCGTCGCGAAGACCACAAGTAAAGTCTTAACGCGAAAAAAAAATCCGCGAAAATGGGTTGGTTTACTGTATACTTACTGATGCAAGTCCATTCATAGCTCTGACAATGTAAACAAGTATGACGGATGTACGAGCACAGACTGGAGTCAAAATGGTACAAATACCACAGATCAATAAAGCCGAACCAATGATACGTCTACCGCCAAATCTATCAGCAATCCAACCCCCGGGTATCTGGGTAATTATGTATCCGTAAAAGAAAGCGGCTAGAATATTCGACCGAGTGTCTTTATCCCAGTCAAATTCTGCATGCTGTAAAAAATGAAAAAAACACTTCATAAATTGCGTCAAGAACCGCTTTATCAGGAACGCTCAAACCGAATATTTAAAAAAGTCAGGTATGTATAAGGGAGCTACCATTTGATTTTTATGGGGGGGGGGGGGGGGCTAGGATGAAAAATGTTGTCCTGCATTTTTTTTAGTTGTGATCTCTGTCCTGCCTTTCACTCTATTCGGTCTTGCCTTTTTTTTATTAGTTTATCCTGACTTTTTTTACATAAATTGTCATTTTGCCTTTTTTTGCCAAGTTGCTCATCCTGTCCTGCCTTTTTTTTCAAATTTCATCCTAGCTCCCCCCTCCCCCCCCCCCCCCCCCCCCCATAAAAATCAAATGGAAGCTCCCTAAGAACCGAAACAGTTGAAGAGCTATGTGACCAAAAAAAGGCATAAAATAATTGCCAAACCATCTAAGGACCAATCTGCCTGAGGGAGTTGAAACCTTAGTTTCTTAATAATTTCTAAATTTATATTAATTATTGTATAAAGGATAAGTACTATGAAATATCAGGGTTGCCATTACCTACAAAATTTCTTTAGATAATAACGACTTGTTTTATCACTTTGCATATTTAGCTATGATTGTCAGGCAATAAAGAGAAGATTCCCTTTAAAATAGTAATAGCCAACACAGATTTGTTTCAGAAAGAAAGTATTAATTTTTTGTGCATTTTGTGAAAGCATATTAAATCGTGATACATGGCAAATTTTCTCACCACAATACAAGCTGAAAAGATAGCTTACAATCCCATAACATGCTCTGTTTTCCAAAATTTTTATTAAATTTTATAGAAAAAAAAAATATTGGAGCAGTGTTTAAAATGTCTATTTAAAAAAATCCTCTGAATGCGTCAAGTTATTTCCCTTTGACTATATAAGGCTTCCAATATTCTTTTGATGCACTTTTCATTTAGTATTGTCCCTCTTTGATTGTTAAAATCAGACAGAAATATTCATTCCTAGCTGCGATGCGGAATATGACAAGCATATCAATAAATCAATACGTATTCAACCATTTGAACTGTGCGTTATTACTCCCAAATGGTACCCGACTATAAATATTCGATAACGGACTTGATGAACAATTGATATGAAAACGCATTTAACAGTATGACATGCCCTTATGGAGCGCGATGCCAACTTTCAGAAAGCCATGATTTGATGCTTCTACAGAAGTACTGTGTGAAAAGGAAGTTGCTGAGTAATTGATATGAATATGTTTCACACGACAAAGCATGCTCGCATTAAACTTGATACCAAAATGCAGGTAGCTCTAATTTGTAGTTCCTGTGAAAAGTTCGACAAAAATATTACGAAACGAATGGACGGACAGACAGTCGTAAACTCTTTCGGAGCGAGGTATAGTTATAGATACAATAACAGGAAAAGAACGGAAATAATTCACAGATGCTGAAAAGCAATGCACTTTTGTACCTGCATAAATGACAAGCTATATAAAGAATTGTAGCTTAGGCTATTCAACTTGAAGTTAGCATAGCAGTTTTACCAAAACTTGTGCTAACGTCCTAAGTCCCTCAAAACTAGCGTTATATATGTGAGTTGTATGAGCTTGATATTGACGAAAACACTGAAGACTTAACCACTTAGAATAATATCCGATACTTACTCTGACTTGTTTGCGATTATTTGCTATTGTATGGTTACTGTCATCAATCATTTATAAGCAAATATTGCATATAAAATAAAATTGAGAATGGAAATGGGGAATGTGTCAAAGAGACAACAACCCGACCATAGAACAGACAACAGCAGAAGGTCACCAACAGGTCTTCAATGCAGCGAGAAATTCCCGCACCCGGAGGCGTCCTTCAGCTGGCCCCTAAACAAATATATATACTAGTTCAGTGATAATGAACGCCATACTAAACTCCAAATTGTACACAAGAAACTAAAATTAAAAATAATACAAGACTGACAAAGGCTAGAGGCTCCTGACTTGGGACAGGCGCAAAAATGCGGCGGGGTTAAACATGTTTATGAGATCTCAACCCTCCCCCTATACCTCTAGCCAATGTAGAAAAGTAAACGCATAACAATACGCACATTAAAATTCAGTTCAAGAGAAGTCCGAGTCTGATGTCAGAAGATGTAACCAAAGAAAATAAACAAAATGACAATAATACATAAATAACAACAGACTACTAGCAGTTAACTGACATGCCAGCTCCAGACTTCAATTAAACTGATTGAAAGATTATGTCTTCATCATATGAATATCAGGCACAATCCTTCCCGTTAGGGGTTTAGTATCATACCATCATAACATATATGAGAAGAACATAACCCGTGTCATGCCAACAACTGGTTTTTAAATAAATGTGTTTAGTGCCGATGCAAAGACCCTATAAGTGAATCAATATTAACGCCAAAATATGCAATCTTTAATGACCTGACAACAGTATCGTAACTATATCCCTTCTTAATAAGTCTATTTAAAGGTTTTGTTAGCTTCAGAGGTGAATACTGACATTTTTGTGCTTTATAAAAGTATGTAGGAATATAAGATATTATTGTGATATAAAGATATCTTGTTATGTACCCACAACCTAGCTCCCACCGTAGAGCAAGCACGCTACCACGAGACCACCGAGGAGATGCTGTCAAGTTATAGGTTTTTATGCCTTGGTTGTAAAGAAGTTTTAGAAAATCCGACAGCATTGCAAAATATAAATATTCCAGTATAATTATACCTGATTGGTTACTTCGATACTTTCGGATGTTCCTGGACATGTACCATTGATATGATCGTTTCCCATCGAGCTGTTATTAGTCTCCGTTTTTACCATACAAACAATAGCAACCGATAAATTAAAACGGACAGCATACAAACATAGAAACCCGAGGTATGCCACATATGCCAGGATCCATCGCTGTGAACAACAACAAGGTACTTTTATATCTAAAAAATATATAGAGAAAATGGTAGCAGACATGACATTTTAAAGAGTTACTATAGAAAAACTGCTTTTCATATTAACACAAATAATTAGGAACATGAAAACTAGAACAACTAAATATAACTCAAGTTTCCATTGGATATTACTCTTCTTGCAAGGGAACTGTTTATAATTGAATATTACTCCCATCTCAAAAATCGCCAATTTTAATGTTAACCAACTGCTGGCTACTTGGTCAAGTAATCAATGTAAAGCTATCCATTAGAAATATGGTCTTATTCACACTCACCATCTGCATCCTGTTCAGTTTCCTTTTCAACCATTTTTTTTTATCCAAAGCCAGTACTTTATTATAATTTATAGATATGCAGTTATATCTATTAGGGGTTTCTTTGTGATTACATTCCATCAATACTAGATACGTTATAATGCCGCACATGTATTACTTATGTGATACCTAGATCACTGTTTGTATATCGAACAGATTAACATATATTTTTTTTTATCTATAACAAGCTCAAAGAATAATGGGTCATTCCAAAGAAAGTATTTTTCAGCATCAAACTTGACTGGATTCTACGTCTTACCTTTTTTTTTTATAGTGGCATGAAATGGAACTCAAAACAAACTACTTAAGCCTTTTTCGGGTTTAGCTTTACTTTTTTAAAAATTTTATCAGCTCCTGAAAGTTTGTATAAGCCTTTAGTATTTTAAAATATTTGGACTCGGAGTATCATGAGACTTTATTTGTCAAAATGCGCATATGGTGCAGTAACATTGGCCCCGCTAATGTTATTAAGAACATTAATAATGAGAAGACGCTGTAATTAGTTTTTGGGATAAAAGGAAGACAACTGTATATGTAAAAAATGCCGAAGTATCCTGAATAATGTGAAATTTCATGAGCAAACCAGACTTTAGTGTCTTTTACCATATTTTGAATTGCGAGCAAAATTGAAAAACTAACAAAAGATTTGCAATCAATACAAAATTCCTAAAGGGCAAAACCAACTAGTTACTTTATGTATTATTGTCATTTTGCTTAGTTTCTTTTGTTTCCTATTCTGACATCGGACTCGGACTTCTTTTAAACTGAGTTTTACTGTGCGTATCGCTGTGTGTTTCTTTATTTAACATTGAATAGAGGTATAGGGGAGGGTTGAGATCTCACAAAACATGTTAAACCCCGCCGCATTTTTGCGCCTGTCCCAAGTCAGGAGCCTCTGGCCTTTGTCAGTCTTGTATGTTTTTTAATTTTAGTTCATTTATATGTTTTGGAGTTTAGTATGACGTCCATTTTCACTGAACTAGTACACATTTTTATTTAGGGGCCAGCTGAAGACCACCTCCGGGTGCGGGATTTTCTCGCTGCGTTGAAGACCAATTGGTGGCCTTCGGATGTTATCTGCTCTTTGGTCGGGTTGTTGTCTCTTTGACATATTCCCCATTTCCATTCTCAATTTTAGATACAATATAGATAAACAATGTGTTGGTGGACGGGCACATCAACATGGTGGGGCTAAAGAAGTAGTCCCCCCTCCCTCCCCCCATTTATCTTATTTAGTCGAATGAAATAATAAATACAGTAACGAGGAGTATAAGTACAAACAAACCAACCAACCACCAACAACCGACTCCGACGTAAGAAGAATATACGTACAAACAAACCAACCACCCACAACCGACTCCGACGTAAGAAGAATATACGTACAAACAAACCAACCACCAACAACCGACTCCTACGTACGAAGAATATACGTACAAACAAATCAACCTTCAGCATCCGACTCCGACGTAAGAAGAATATACGTACAAACAAAGAAAAATGATAACTAGTATTGGTACGTATACATTATGGTGTGGGTTAATCCTGTTTGACGTGCGATGAAGGAAAATAAAAAACAGAAGATAAAACAGCTACTTACTAATACTTAAATGAACAAGGAAATGTCAAACGTCACTAAATTGAGAAAGGAGGATCGAATGTGCCAAGCAGCTACTATAGGAGGTTAGCTAAAGTAGCCACAGATGTTGGTTAAATTCTAGTAGTATATACTGCTTTACAAGAAAACAACAAAACAATCAAAAATTCTCCACAGGTTTCATGAAGTCGCCTTACAAAGTTAATTGATAAACGACAGTTCTTTTAAGAGGCTAGTAAGTATGAAAAATCGTCAAATCCTACACAGTTGAAGAGCTATAAGACCTACAAATGATAGCCAAATCCATATAAGGGCAACTTTGCCTGAGTGAGTTGAAAACTTAGTTTCTTTTTTTTAATAATTTCTAAATTTATAATCGGAAAATTTCAGAAAGGTTTGTTATACCTTTTCATAGACTATTCAATTTAGCACATATTTACAACTTAATCTTTTAATTGGTCTATTGTTAGTTTATTTTGGCTGACTACTTGTATTAGAGGTCGGTCAATTTAATGCGTATCCAAAGTATCAGATACTTTGACGTTTACGCATCTGGGGGAATATGCTCAAATAATTACCCTGTCCGAGAGTATTACTCAATGTACCATTTTTAAAGAATAACGGGGATGAAACTTTGTGGCACTGATTAATTTGCATCTGTTTATTTCTGAATGCCTTAACTTATAACTTCTTTATATTTAGCACTGAAACAACAAAAGGGTACATAATCCTTAAGGTTCAGCATAACCAATTAGCTAATATGGCCGTATTTACACCATCAGTACAGACACATACCTGTGCACCTGGAAAAGTTTTAAAGCATGGCAGGAACTAAATAATAAAATTTTAAATGCATTTTCTGTTTCAGAACATTATAAACTTTTCTGAATTTTGCTATTCATTTGTTTTCATTCCTGCAGAAGGTGCCAAAATAAAATAAATTGGGAAAGAGGTTTGAGAAGCTCCCCTCATTTAGAATATAGCAAAGTACTCTCGACCAATGAAATTGTAGGATTGGATGCCTCTTAATTGTGAAGAATGAATGTAAATCATGTTCTTAGTAAGGGATTATCCTATTATTTGGGTCTGTTTACAGTTCAAAACAAAGAGTTTCTATAAATGAGTTACAACTGCCCCGAAGCACATTTATCAGATTGAAAGGATTTATCACAGAGTGATTGAAACTGACTAAAAGTTGAATTGTGAAACCAACAAAAATCTCAAAATAAGTTGAAGTTTACTGGTGCAGTAAAATTGGTACCGTGAATGTTATTATGAAAATATTAATAACTTCAAATTACTATAAAATTAAACAATACCAAAGCAATGAAAAAAAAAAGGAAAAAAAATCTTTCAGATAAAAAATAACCTAAATCTTTAGCTTTCCAAAACTTTGATTACTTGATCAGCGGTTGGGGAGAATAGTTATTTCCAATACATGTATTCCGATAAAAAAAACAATAGGAATTTAGTTTTGAACATATTAAAAACTTTTAAGGGCATTATTTTTGAACATTTCCCTGACATAATGAAACAGTATTTGATGTAAAAAGCCGGACCAAATTATTGGCTGTGAAATAAAATTTAGTTGTAACTCAAATGTATTAATTGATTTAAACTGTAAATAAAAAAAGGATAATTCCTCACTAAAATATTACATGATTTACATTCATACTCACAATCAGGAAACATATACAATTCCTACCTTTTCTTTCTACTGTTGTGTTACCTAATATCTATAACGCATTTTTTTTTTAAAAATATTTCCCAAATGATAAGAAAGTCCTCACATCACTAAAACTAATCCATAAATGACATGCCGAAAAGGGAAGTCATGCATCAATTATAAACATTGCACTGACAATGAAACTAATTGATAGATCATTTGAGCTTTGAGCACTATACAATATTCTAAGTTTGTACGAGAATGATAATCCCTTACTTCATGATAAGTACTCGCTAACGCTCGTACTTATTCATGAAGAAAGGGATTATCATTCTCTTACATATACATAATAAATGTTGTGAGTAGTATTGATTTAAATGGACAATAGATGGACAATAGATAGTAAATCTACTCACTAGTATCATAGTAAAATATGTGATTTCAAAAGGCCCTTGACTCCAGAAAGAAAAGATGGTAGCTGCTGGTGTAAGTATGTATATTGATATAAAGCGGAGTTTTACTACATGTATAAAAATAAGAAGATGTGGTATGATTGCCAATGAGACAACTCTTCACAAGAGCACAAGAAACCAAAAGACACAGAAATTAACAACTATAGATTTTAATAGCAGAATATTTAAAAATCAATGTGAAAACTAATTACAAACTATTTAATTTAGTTTGGGACAAAACATTTTTTTTCAAAATAGCCACAGGCAATTCTTGTTTTAAATTCTTGATTACGATACAATGAAATCTTACCCTTGTGGTCATTCATGCATAGTTACTAAGTACACGGAAAAAGTATGTACTATGAAAATTAGAAGGCAAATTCAAGCAATTTGATAGGACGAGAAGTTGTAGGTATGTGCTAAATACCATTAAGGGGTTACCCTGAGCCAATAAGAGTATATTAATTAACGTGTCCTTCCTTAATATGAATATAATTGTTTATCAAATTAATTCCAGTCATAAAGTTATTTACATTGTTAGTTTCGCTAAGCATGTAAAATGTTCATTCACACCGCAGGCTGCCCTCACAAGGCTATGCACTTCTAATTTTTTTGACACTTTTTATGAATGTGTCCGAAGTAACCGCACTTATAACATATCCTTTCTTCCTTCTTTGGCCGGCAAATCTTTGTAGTTGGTTGCAAGTCTTCGCGATGTGTCCGTTTTGTCGCAGATCTGGCAGGTAATGCTAGAAACTGCATAAATAGCTGATTCATTTTGCGATACGGTTAGTTTTTGTACAGATTCATCCAATTTTGCAATAGTGTCATTTTGCGATTTGATGCACTGCATCCCACTTTGCATTTGGTCGTCAGAAGTACGGTTGAACTGTTGTAGAATATTCACAGATTTGTTGGCTAATCTAGCCATTTTTAATGCTTCCTGCCAATTTTGTGGATTCCTTTGAATGACGAACATTCTTAGCGTTGGTGTTATTCCACGAATAAAGCACATAACTGTGTCCTTTTCCCTTTTCTGCAGCAAGATACAACGTTTTTCTATGTCGTTGGCATAGTCTTCGAGATTCCTATCTTCACTCATTCGTCGATCGTATAGTTGCTGTTCTAAAAGCCACTTCGGATGAATGTTCTGAAAATGGTCCTTTGATGCCTTGTACAGGAACTCCCAATTTTCTGTATGTCTGGCATTTGCTTGTTTAATACATTCAAGAGCGCTTCCGGCCAGACGTAATTTCATTGCATTAAATATCTTTGTATTGTCC